ATTGTTATAAATGCGCATAAACAGATGCGGCCTGAGCACAAAATGCTAGTCACGTCCGTGTTTCTTATTATTTGTTACTTGTGGTCTGGTTTATTTTTGGGCTCACAGCGATGTCTCATTTCTTATAAGGAATTCTTCTGAGGGCCTGAATGGAAGTATTGGATCTGGGGAGGGCTTCAACTCTGAAAGCCTTGAGCTTAGCACAAACTCCTATGCTTATGATCCTGGCTCGCCGCCTCCTCCTCCCGGTCCCGATGAATTGCCTCCTCCGCCTCCGGACATGGCGTAAGTACTGTAACATCATACATACCGGCCCACACATGCTCCACACATTGCACCACCACCCGTGCAAACATGTAGTGAAAGTACAGCCACACGTACAGCTACACTGAAATCCTATACGCGCCTTCTGAGCTGAAGCTAAACGGATTATAGTCTTTGACTTTGTGATTCTTTAATGAATAGGAGCTGCTCTGGAAGCAGCTGCACACAAATTGCAGGTTAATGGAGGGAAGTGAAGGCTCCATTATGCCGTTTATATTATCCTTTATACCTCCAACTTCCTCTCCATCACTTACAGGTATGGTAACGATGGAGCACCCACCCAGAAGCGTGTCAGCATGCTGAGTCCAAGCCACCCTCCCCCAGCTCCCCCCAATGCTTCTTCCCCGAACAACTCCCGCCCAAGTCTCTCTCCTCCCCCTGCACCTCCTCCCCCTCCTCCACCTTCTGGTTTTGGGATTCCCCACCTCCCTCTGGCTTTGACACCCCACCTTCTCCCCCTCCGTTCTTCTCCTCTTCCGCTCCACCTGCTCCCCCTCCTCCCCCATCTATGTCCGCCATCCCTCCTCCACCACCTATGCCTGCAGGCGGGGGTCCACCGCCACCACCTCCTCCACCGCCTCCCCCCGGTCCTCCTCCACCACCTTTCGAAAGTTCTGCTCCTCGTCCGCCACCTTCTGGCGGGGTAACAGCCTGTTCTGCTCCCAAACCTCAGCCAGAGCCCGTCAGTGACGCTCGCAGTGACCTGCTGCAGGCCATCCGACAAGGTAAAGCACCGCAGGAACACCTCGGGCCTCATGGGCCGGACCAAAGTGTCAAACATGGGAAACAAATAAAACATGCAACACATAGCAAACATACATATATAACGAACCATGAAGAATTAACTTGTAGGCGTTCTTGTGTCGCAAACTTTAATTTGTGTCAGAATCAAGATATAAAAGATCAGACTTATCTTTTATCACGGGAGAACAGGGCCCCTTCACCAAAGTAATGAAAACATGAAGAGACAACAGCAGTGGCATCTAAATAAAGCATCATCTGTTCCTCCTCACATCAGGCCTCATCTCCTAAATTGAAGTCAGGGCTGTAAATCAGGAAAAAGTGCAAAAACATGCTTATTTATTCCTGGTATTTTCAAAATTACTTCTTGGCAGGAGATTAGACATGCAGCCCTCTCATCTTCAAACAGCTGACATGGTTAAAGAGTCTTAAAAAGCACACTTTCCCTCTGAACAAAACACTCCAGAGTTGTTGTTTTTGTCCTACAACAGCCACCGTAGCTTAATTCATGCACTTGAATTGGGAAATGTGAGAAAATAGATATCAGTTGACTGCAATCCACTGACATCTAGCAGTGAGATATGCACACCCTTTTCTTTTAACACCACTATTGTTCTAAAACGTGATTATCAGTGCTAGTTTCTCAGATAAAGATTTAAGCACTAACACAATACTTGAACTACCAAAGAGTAAAGAAGATATATGCTCTGCGTTTGTGCACACTGACATGTCACCATTTACTTTGTCTGTGCATTCCCTTACTTGCGAAACATTTACAAAGCAGATTGGAGAAAAAAAAATTGAATCCTGCAATGTTTACTACTTAATTTGGTCCCTGCTGCCTGCCGCTGTTTTTTGACACATTTTTACTCCCAGCTGTCAGTGAGTGAAACAGTGTGATATGTTTGAGCAGGAGTATAAACAAAGTGGCATGCATTAAAAAAAAACAAAAACGGGGACCTACAAACCGTGAACTCATGTTCAAGAAGCCAGTTTGAGATGATTTGAGCTTTGTGACATGATGTGTTACACTCTGGTCATGAACATGGACATGGTCAGCAACAGTACTTGGCTAGACTGTGCTGAATAACGATCGGCTGGTAATTACGGGCCCAAAGTCGGAAATCAAAACTCAGACCAGGAAACATTTCTTCAGTGTTTTAAGCCCTAGAGATGGTTGTTTGGGGAAATCCCAGTAGATCAGCAGTTTCTGAAGTACTCTGGCATCAACAGCTGTGCCACATAAATGTTTTTTGGTTACGGTCATGTGATTGGCTAATGAGACATTTACATTAACAGCAGGTGAATAAAGTGGCTATTTTGAGCGTTTTAACCATTAATTTGAATCAAGGCTGCTGACAAGAAAAGTCCTTCAAAACCCTGAATGGTTTGTTTGGGTTTTTTTGGGTTTGTTTTTTGTTTTCTCCACTCGGCAGTGAGTATTTTCTCCACAACATGTTGCGGCTTACATAAATAAGTGTGATGTCCTTGACTCCTCCAGCTCTGCAGTCAAACTGATACTCCCTCTTCACAACCATACGGTTCTCATCATCCTGTGATACATACAAAATGATATGGTAATCATGTGTTATTGTTGAGCTTTATGAGCGGTTTATCTTAAACTAGTTGATTTGTTGTAGACTTTAACGCTGCAGTCAACTCCCACTCGCCTCAAACCATTATCTGGAAACAGTATGTCTCTGTATCAGCACAGCAGGGAAGAGGGCAGAGGAGGAAATGAATTATGCCACTGAGCTGTAATTAATTAAGTCAAGGACCTTAGGTAACACGTTCAGCTTTTAAAAAGACAATGTGTGCTGGTCTCGAATGATATTAAATACTTAAAAACTGCATTTTAAGTATTGAGTATGTGGACTCTTTCCTTCAAGTGCCATACATGATTTGTGACTACTATCTGCCAGCTCCCTGATTACCCTGATAGTCAGTGATGACAGCGTTTTTCTATGAATGACCTAAATAATGACAGAGTTAAGCTGGATAAAGATTACTCAGATGTTGAACACGCCTTTAAACCGTTTAACACGCTTTCAGGTTTCAACCTGCGGAAGGTGGAGGAACAGCGGGAGCAGGAGAAGAGGGATCACTTCGGCAACGATGTGGCCGCCATCCTGTCGCGCCGTATCGCCGTGGAGTGCAGCGACAGCGAGGACGACTCCTCCGAGTTCGGAGAGGACGATGACTGGTCCGATTGATCGCCATCCTTTTTCCTCTCACTACCGTGTGCGTGTTTGTGTCTGTCTGTGTGTGTGTGGTTGTTTGTTTGTTTTCTTCCTCAGTCTTAGAAAACACCTGTGTATTCCCATTCAGATTCCAGCCTTCAAGTACAAACAGCACAGAGGTCTGTGTATTTTTTGTGTGAAAGCTGGTCACTTTGAGAGGACGTGTGCATGTTGTATTTGCTTGTGACCAATTTCAAATCACATTCCTCGATCCGGTCACGTATATATTCAAAATAATTTATGTCAGAATTATAAATGGAGCGAGCGTGTCTGGTTTTGTCCTAGTTTGCCATTAATTCTCATTGGATGACACACGGCTGTTATTGATGCAAGAGCGCTATGTGATGTGAGGCACGTCTCTCCTGAGCGCGTGCCTAAATGCATCACCTCCGCCTCTCTCTGCGTGTCTGTTACAGTCAGGTATCCTTTGCTGAGGGCTTAAAGCCTGGTTTTTAGTGGCTGTGGTGCATTATGGCAACAGATAATAGAGAGTAAAATCGAACACAAGCACACACACACGTGCAACAGCTTCAGTTCACAGTAGTTATATGTATCGATGGAAAGACAAGCTTCTTCATAGATTATGTGATACGGATGTAAAGTTTATATCTATGGATTATTAATTCAATCACTTTAAATCCCAAAGCACAGTTTTTATTACATTTTGTATTTTGTCTTCTCACTTTTTCTTTGTTTTTTAAGTGGTTTCATGAGAACCTTTGTCTTGTGGTTGTAGCTCATAAACAAACTCAGTAATTAATTATTCAGTGAGATAAGGAGAGAGGTATTGGCTGATGTCAGACACCAGGAGTGTTAGAGAAGTTTGCCATACTTAACATATGCAGAAATTAACATTAATAACTTGATTTTTATTTTTAATGTTATTTTTTTAGCTAATGTATTTTACTTTTCTTATGTTTTTCTTCCTGCAATTGTATTCTGAGATTTTCTGGGGATCAACTAGAATTTGTTGCTTTAATCACAGTGCCTTTTTATACTGAATTTCAGTGTCTGTGCCTTAATTTGGTTAGCAATACAGGTTCCTGTCAGCTTTCTCCAAAACTATGATGATGAGTCCAATGAACTGACTGTTTAATGTGGACCACTTTTTTTTTTTAAAGTGCCTTTTCTTTTAAGTCTGTCTGTGTTAATGCACCATGACACGGCATGCTTAGCCAAAGATCTGCTTCTCCTGCCTTAAATTTCCAAATGATTAGTTCGTTCAATAAAGAGAGTGAATTTCACTGACTGTTCAGTGTTTGGTGTGTGTGCTATGATGTCTTAAGTGAGAGGTTAACCCTTGAAGGAGGAGAAAAAAAAGCTCTGCTCAGGCTTCCAGTGACTCATCCTCTTTATGTCTTTGCTGGACACCTTTCATAGCCCTCGGTGCCGCGTGCGTAGAGAGTGTGAAAACGAACTGACTGCAGAAATTTTCAGAAAACTGGTAGGAGGAGAGAGAAACCTCTTGCATAATCGCCGCATTCTCATGCCACGGCTGCTTCAAGGATGCAGTGGGTGCTCCAGGACGGTAATAACATCGCCCATTGCTTCGAACACGAAATAATTTAAGATACAGGAACAGCAGCAGCGGTCCGAGTTAAAGAGTGAGAGATGGAAAGAGACAAGCACTAAAAGCCCTGCTAGCAGTGAAGAAGGATGACGTCACTTGGTAGAAAAAAATCATTTATTCACCAGTATAAAATATTCATTTTTTTTAAAAAAAAATGTTTTAAAAATGGTTGTGCAACTCGAACATACTGTCAGTATGTTTCAAAGTGCCTTTAACAACATGTGCAAAATATACTCTCAACATTATAGAACATGTTGCTTTGCAGACATTCAAGTAAATGAACTCAGGCTTTGGATCACATGTCATTACACTGTGAAAGGCTTCTATTTATAATCTCTCCAATCCTGTTGTAAAGTGCCGATACTCATCAAGTCTGTTTTATATATATATATATTTATATATGTATAATACACATATAGTATTTCTGTGATTGTTTTCTTCTGGGAATCCAGTGAAGCTACAGTTGACTGAGAATGAGGTACACAGCACAAACAGTATCTTTTGTCCCAAGATGGCCACCAGCCAGGACAGCTCAGTACATTCTGATTTGTAGAAACACTTTTATCTCTGAAAAGTGCTGCCTGCGTGTGTGGGAGTATACATGTGTCAGAGTCCAAGTGACAGTCAGTGCAGCAATGAGTGTATTTTGGCACACAAACGGTGATATGTCTGGCATAGATCTTATGTTGGGTTGAGTCTGCTGAGGTTTGGCAGTTTACACATCAACAGGGTAGTGTATGTGTGTGCTGTGCGAGTATCTGTGTGGGCAGCAGGCGTGGAGCAGCACCTTGCGAATGTCTTTGTGTCTCAGGCTGTAGAGAATGGGGTTTAGTAGGGAGCTGCCTGCAGCTGGCACCAAGGTGGCATAGGTGTACAGAGGAGGGCTGGACGCATCTCCCAGCAGCCCCCAGAGGGAGAAGGGCATCCAGCAGCCCACAAACACACTGAGGACCAGGAGCAACCTAGAGAAACCTCTCCCGCTGCCGTGCTTGCTTGCATATGACTGATTGGAAGGGAGGAAATGCCTTTGGGTAGCGATGGCATGGGCATGCCGCCTAGCAACACGGCAGATCCCAGCGTACAATTGCAGGGTTACCATTACAACCACTAGGAAGCCCCCACACAGCAGCGATAGATATGTCCGGGTCAGAGGTCGTGCTACAGAACAGGAATTTGGGTCTTCAAGACAGTGCCATCCCATTGCTGGCCCCGCCCCAATCATGCATGCACCCAACCAGACCAGCAGCAGGAGGATGGCGGCTCTCCGCCGTGACTGGCCTGAGCCGTAGGTGAGGGCGTGGCTCAGAGACAGATACCTGTCCAGGGCAACACCCATTAGGCTACAGAGGGAGGCAGTCAGTGATGTCACCAGTAGTCCTGAGGTCAGCAGTTCTGACCAATCACTGGGCTCCACACAGAACATGAAGAGGAAGTGCAGAATCAGCGCCACACCAGCCAGAAGATCAGCCATACCAAGGCTGGCAAGCAGCAGGAAGACAGGGGCACGAAGAGATGAGGTGGCCAGGATGGTGATGACTACGATGGCATTCTCAGTCGCAATGAGGGTCCCTGAAACACAGAGGGCCACGCCCCACGCTGTGAGAGGTGGGAGTTCATAAGCAGATGACTTTCCCAGTTGGTCTGATGGGATGATGGGCTCTGCACCTGAGGATTCAGAATCCCAGCCCAAGTCTGTGGCGTTCAGGATCATTGTTTGGTTCAGCAGTCACACCAATAAAACCTAAAGGAGAGAGAAAAAATTGAGAAATACGTTACTATCAGGAGTCACTACCACAGCTCCCACATGTCCATCGAACAGCATTTCCAGAAACAGAAGCTGGTGTGGTTTGAGCCACAGGATGCAGGCTGTAGCATCACACAGAGCAGAAGAGCACTTGATGTGCTAATGCGCTGCTTCAAATGCTATAATCTTGTAATCCAACACGGCTGAGCTATTGAGAAACCATCCTACCACTATAAGACCTTCAGATGTTGTGTTCTCCTGCTCTTTGTGATATCATTACCTGCTCCATTTTGGGAAAACAACACAAAAAACTACTTTCCAATAGCTATGTAGAAAAAAGGTAGTTTTGAAAGCCCATATAAGGTTTTATTTCTTTAAAAATTATCACTTTTTTTCAATTTTTTTTTAACAGTTACCCAAATCTATGTGTTTGTATTTTGGGACGTCACGAGATTCATCTCGTGACTGGAAGTCTTGTGGGAAGGAGCGAAACTTCCAGTCAACCAACAGGCTATGTATTTTGAATGATTTGGGATAGATATATAATATTTAATTAATCACCAGGCTAACACGTGACTGTAAAAGGTGGGCTATCATTTGCTGCCCACTGAAAAGAATGAATGAACGGCATCATTTTAAAATAGGATTACAGTTAAAGGCATATGTGCGCGTGGCTATATGTAAACTCGATTTATTATGTAAGCCACAGTCTGGGTTTTCCTCGTGATGCCGCACAGCAGAGGCGCAGAACCTCGAATAAATTCTACGTGCAACATGCATGCACGAGAAAATCTGCGCGGTAAGGATCTTATCAGTTATCTGCTCGCACACATGAAAACAAACTGGACGTCCTGCAGGAACGTTATAAGCGCATTATTTCTGCGCTCCTCGGGCACTGAGTCCCCCCCTACCCCGCGCTCTTTCTCCGTTCCCACAGTGAGGAGGTATATCCCACCTCCTGACGCAGGGGACCCTTAAGTATCATACAAATGCAGGTTCACTGCACCGTAGAGCGTGCCCCCCAACACATGCACGTACCGAGACACGTTTACGAGCATGTACTAAATTCCTCTCACCTTATTTAAACGAGTCAGTCCTCTGAGGGAGTCACACTGATTTTTCTCTCTCTTTCTCCTGTAAGATCCAGCACAGGTGATGGAGCCGAGGTGAGGCTGTTCGCGGTAAGGCTCGACAGCAGGTTTAAACACCGACGGTTCCCGTGTAGACACAGCTCCGCGTTCCCGTCTTCACCAAAGTTGCGCCAAACTCTCACCTGGCGTCGCTTGCATCTCTCCTTCTTCAAGCTCGCCGAATTGCTCACTGGAGGCAGAATGAATGTTCTTGCGCGCGGGCTCATCCACAAGAGTCTGTCTGACGTCAGTGACTGGGAGCCTCGACCAATCAAGGGACGGCACCAGGGATGCGGGGAGAAGTGGGAGGGGACGTCCATGGAGTAATTTCATTCAGAAAAATGCGGCAGAGCCCCGTCGCCCCTCCCACTGCGGCTCGCTAATGCTTTCATTTCTTATAAATAACGACCATCGACGGACACACACGTTTTCTCAATAAGACCCAGACCCCTTGCTGAAGGTGAGGATACGAGTTTGTGTTGGGCAGGGCTGGAACTTGGCAGCTGTGAGCGCACAACGCAAAGCGCTGGCGCTGTCCACGGTGCTGAATCTCAGAGTATGACTCATGGGGAGATGTCGTACAGGGAGACAGAGAGCCTGCTGAATGAACGAATGATGGGGAGCAGCTTTAGCACACACTGAACTCTTTTTAAACACAATTTAAATTTATGTAAAGCACATAGGTGAAATATTCTTGAGGGTGAAGTGGTGAAAAACTGGCCTGTGCGTGCATGGTTGCACTAACAGAGATATGGGTATACTAATATGGAGTGCTGGGTAAAATTCAAGAAGTATTATACACTAAAACTGTTTTCAAAATAACATCAGCATACATACATATTATATATGTAGAAAGATAAATAGATATATAGATATAACTTGTCTTTATGAGCCTCGCACAGCCTCATAATCATTTAGAAATCTTCTAAGAGGATTGAGCATTTGTGTTTAGGCCGTGGGTGGTGAGAGTTTTCCTACAATCCAGCAAAGACAGGAATCAGTCGTACATTTTGCTTGTTATCCACCGTATTTGTCTCGTCTTTTTTTGATTTTTAGTATCGCTTCACAGAAATACACGCCCCCACCTCCCCTACAGTAATACAGCAGCAGGGGATTCGTGGCTTCCCCCGGTTTGACACGAAGCGTAGGACGCTACAGGCTGGGCTCAACAGCTGTCTGCGTGGTGGCGCACGGCGCTGAGCTAACTGGGGGAATCTCGTCTTGTTCGAGCCATATTAGGACACGCTTCCTGTCGATACACCCCTCCTACGTCACCGAGCAGAGTTGAAGCGCAACACTTGTCACCTTCGTAAATGTCGCCGTTATTAAGCAGCTTCTACAAATTTCTGCAGAATCACGGCTGCTCTGCTCATGTTACCCACTTCTTTTTACACAGCATTAAACTATTTTGTTAAAATATTAACTGTGCTTTACATTAATGTAAAACATTAATGTAAAGCATTATAGATTATTTGTGTGTGCGTGTGCCACCCTGTCCTTTATGTTATTATGTCATGTATATCTTTTCTAATACTAGCAGTGCTCCGTGGAGTGTAAACTAGTCTGTGGCCGGTGTTGTAGATTGCTTGCCCACAGCGGAGGAGGAAATCGTGTGGAACAGGATTGCGGAATATCCCTTTGTGTGTGTGTTTTCTTTGCTTCCTAACACACACGAGCCACTCTGAAGAAAGATCTACCCAGACAATGGGTGCCAGAGCATATGAGATGTGGGAGTTAAAGGAGCCACGTCGGTGTGAGTGGAGGAGGTGGAGATCATTGCATAAAGCTGCAAAGTTTTGTCGTGATCCTGCACGTTTTTTTCCCCTGCGGCCTGATTGGGGGCTGTGACTCAGTGCATCTGCATCACAAAGCGACAACTTAAAAGGTCGGAAGCACTTGTGCAGTTTGTGCTGATGCATTTGCCCAGCTGCACGTTGTGGAGCCTCTTATAAAAAGCAAAACCTGAGCACCTTTGTACTCTGAGCTAACCCCATGCGCCACAGGTTTTTGGAAATGACGCAATTTTTTGTAATGTTGCCTTTCTGTACATCACAGTCGCTTTAAAATCAAACAACCAGGATGTGATTCAGATGCAGAGTCTGAGCTTTACATCAAATGGTTTAACGAACATGAAACAGTCTGAAGTCTAGAACACCTGGGCATCATGGACAGATTCTCTGTCTTTAGATGATATGAAGGGTTTTTCTTAATCAGATGAGGGGTTTTTTTGCTTTTCAGGCTTTTTTGTGTAGCCGAGAAGGTCAGTTGTTGATTTGTCCTGTCCTATAAGGATTTTGCTATTTCTCTAACAAGACTATTTGGTTTTTCAGCCTTACCTCCATCACCTACATCTATGTCTCTTTGGACATCATGTTGAGAGTTCTGCTGAAAATCTACAGAGCTCAACACTTGGAATCAACTCCAGGTCTCTCACCAGCCTGATTTGTCATGGAATAACCAGGAAACATTGCTTAATTGCTGTTGAAACTGCTTATATCATGTAATACTTTTGTTAAACCACTTGAAGTAAAGCTCAAAGTCTGCCCCTCATTTACATCTGGATTGTTGGATTAAAAAACAAAACATACTGCCGTGATTTGTAGACAAACAGAAAATGTGTCATTGTCCAAAATCCCATATGGACTTCACTGTAGTTTCAAACAGTAATGCTCAATACTCACGTCTGGTCCTTTACATCCAGATCCAGCTTTACCAATAGGAATGTGCGATTTAACTGTAACCTCTTCAGCTTTTACAACTAATCACACATTAAGAGTAACATTACTACAAACATCCCGATCTAGGCTAGTGTCACAGAGTGTTACAATGGTTTTCTTTGTCTCTTTCTTTACATTTATCTGGGATATTTTATATTTATTTGCACAGATAAAGTACAAGAAACATATTCTATCAATAGGTGGGTGGTGATGCTTAAAAGGTATACAGTAAAAAAGTTTTTTAAAAAAAAATCTTAATTTCATCACCGAGGTAAAAATGTGAGTACAGAATAGATGAAAAGCCAATGTACTTTTTTAGCAGAAGCCTGTTGGAAATCTTTAAAGGGATATGAAGACCTTATTAGCTCTTGTTATATCTAGATCAAGGTCTATTAAACCTTCCTCTACTTGACTTGTATTGCTGTAAGTATGAATAACATGAATTAGCATGAATTCCTTTTTGAAGCTGTTCATTTTTTGAATGTTTTGGGGGATCTGGGTAGATAAAAGAATCTCAATAAGTCACAAAAGACATTGAAGGAATGAATTTTAGCTACAATAGCAACATAAACCTCAGGTTTAAAAGGTCAGCAGCATTTTTCAGCTATTTTATTCTTGATATCTTCATGGGCATCACATGACATTTGGTGCCGATGAAGCTGACTGCAAGTGACTTTGATGATCACCCTTTTCATGATGTTGAAATATCAACATCTGTTTAACGGAAGCGTAGACATTCAAGGTCCCCACAACATGGATTTTAGAAATTTTAACAAAGCAGGCAACCACATCACTAAATCCAGAGTTCCAACAGGGAAAACAAAGAACCTTGTCATGCGTTTAAGTGCAGGTAACATCAAAATGAACACTAATTTAGCTCAGTTTATTCCCATTAGTCCTTCTTTAATTTATAGGCTTCATAAGGACATATATGTGAATGAAGGTGTGTGTATACATTCACCGCCTGCTTAGGTAAACAGGTGTCAGTCCGTTCCAACTGGCATGCATTTCAGGTGGCTTGAGGTGGGCCAGTTGGTTGCCAGGGAACCAAGTTTAGTGGCGCTCATGTTACACAGATCTCCTCACTCTTATCTGTCATTGTGTCCTGGTTATCATCACCTCCAGAAACCCTTTCGAGGACAAGCTGAGGAGACTTCAATTCAAAGCCTTTTTTTAGTTTTTAAAATCAACTCCCTTTTAAGTGCCAACGTTTCCAGGTGTTGCTCGCAGGTGTCTGTTGCAGTCAGGATGCAGCTGGTGGCATTTACTGTTCTCTCCTCCACTCTGCTGCTTCTAGCAGTGATCCATTCTGTGTATCTACAGCCAGGTATGGGTCTATCCGTATGTTTTATTTTCTTACAGCGTGTCCATTTCAGTATATTTTGCTCTGAACCTGCTTGTGTGTCTTCCTAAGCTTGCCATCTGCTGTCTATTTTCGTGCTTTAATCTGTTGTCTTTCCTCATTAATGTCTCACTTCTTATTTACTGGTAAGATGGCTTTTTGTCTATTATTACTAACACACCACGAAGCAGCACAAATAAGAGAGTTTAACAGGAAGCAATTATCTTTTTCTTATCATCATAAACTTCTGCATTCTCAGATACTGTCCAAACTAACAGGATATCATATAATAATGAAGCTGCTTTAGAATAAATGGGCACTGGCCAGCCAGCTGGGTTTTGATTGACACTGCTAATTAACTGCCAGTGTTGTCCCTCCTACAGATTGTTCTCAAGCCGAGTCATGTGACCTGTGTGTCGGCGATTCCATGCTCAACCTGACAGGCTGTGTCTGGAGGCTTTGTCCAAATGGTGACACACACACACACACACACACACACACACACACACACACACACACACACACACACACACACACACACGTGACCTCTGATAGTAATTCAATCACCAATGCTGCTGTAACACTAGCTCCCCTGGTTTGTAGAAGATCACTGAATTATTGAGTGATGCCGGGGTCTGTCTCCCTCAGGCAATGATACAGGCATGTGTGTGACCGATGAAGGGGATTCGGCAGACAACGGCATGAACTGCAGCTGGACCAGAGTGTCTGAATTGTGCACAGGTATTAAAAAAATGAACATAATTTTGGGGGGGATGATATCAAGTGTTTTTCTGCCATCTTCATAACCCTGTTACATAATTCATTCCCCAGTTGTAGAGTCTGTCGCTGCGGGAGGTGGTAAAACCGTTTCAGGTAAACTGAATCAACTCTGCTTCAGACGTCATCTCCTAGTCCCATAACAGCTGACTAAAAGATTCCCTAAAGGCAATCCAGTCATCTCCACCCGCTAAAAACCCTGACAGCACTTTATAAATAAATATATATATATATATAAAACAACCAGTGAATTCTGTGTCCTTTCCCTCAAGGTGATGACAGCAACACCAACTCCTCCCCCGAGTTCTCCCAGGCCAAGTTCGACATGTCCAGCTTCATAGGCGGCATCATACTCGTGCTGTGTCTGCAGGCAGGCGGATTCTTCGCCATGCGCTTCCTCAAATCCAAAGAGCAGAGCAGCTACGACCCCATGTGAGTTTATGCGCGGAGGTGTTGGAGAACACAGAATCTCACGCGTTTGTGCGAAACGTGTTAAGTGCAACAGCAGCCTCTGGTGGCAGGAATCGTCAACAACACACGATGCACAGCGCAAACGGTTCACCTTCAGCATCTCTGCCTGTCTTGTTTTGATTCTGATCACACACACTTTCCATCAGTCTATACACACTCTTCTGTCTGTCTTCATGCAGAGAGCAGCCACAGTGAAGACAAGATAAATGACGGACAAGCAGACGGTGCAGAGAAGGACAGCAGAACGGTGACTCATCTGGTTATGACGACAAGAATTTTTTTCCCTCTCCTTTTTTCCCCCTGTCGTTTTTTTGGTCTGGTCCCTGTGTGTACCCCCTGGGGGATGGGTGTGTTTGTACGAGGACATATTCCCAAAATACTGCATTGTGTAACAAGTGTCTGTGCATGAGCTCACTGCAGTATTTACAGTTCACGATCAGTGTGTTAGATGCACGATCAAGCAAGACTTTGATTTCTGCAGAATTTTATGCAACTGCTTTGTGATCATACAATTCACCTTAAATTACAGTAATTTAGGTGTTTATACTGTTATAAATAGTGTGGTGCAGTTATATTATTAAATTTAGGCTGTAGTTCAGACAAGGTCACAACAAACATTTTATCCATCGTCTTTGAGTACATTTCTGTTCATGTGCATTTTGATAACTTTCTAGAGTTTTTTGAAACAAAAATAACCAAATGTTAACCTGTAATGTATGAAATTATTGATTAATATAATATAAATATAGTAACTAAGGTCCTAAAGTCCACTCACAGGCTGTTATACCTCTTTCCGTCAAGTTGCAGTGAGTGTTTGTGCTGCTGCGGATGCAGGGAGACGCCTTCCTTTGGTGGCGTCTCCCTGCATTTTAAATGGTTTGAGGAGTGATTACATAGCTTTACTAGCAGTGATGCTTCTTCTATTTCCATGAGAAGAAAATCATGCAGGCTGCTTCATTCACCAGTTATTGTTTAAACATTTTCAGCAGGTCCTTGTATAGCCACTGACATCACTGCTTCCAGCTTTGGGGTCGGCTGTTTTATGGTGGCCTGCTACTGCCAGTCTTATTTTAGTGGGGGGAAAAATAAGCTACAGCTCAGACACCTGCACCTCACTGATGGAAAGGAAGTGTTAGAGATAACAACTGTGATAACAACCTGTGAACCACTGAGAAAGACACACCATAACCTAAAACCTGAGCCCTAATAGCAGAGTCAGGATTTCAATCTTTATAAAAACCTCCAGTAATGACTCTAGTGGTGCATTACTTTTATTTTGATGCTCTTACTGTCAGTAGTTCAGACAAACCCAACGTGGTAGTCATGGAGAAGAACTCTGACTTGATTTCTCAGATTTATAATAAAGTTTGAACCATTTGATTGCTGTTATAAAACAGGTGACATAGACGTGATCCTGTTTAAATAATACTAATGTTGGTTAAACTCATTAATATGAGCTGTTTGATTTTTTTGTGATGACACTGGATTTCCTGAATAAACTAGGAATAAGAAGAGGTGTCTCTCAGTATGTTTGGTATGTCTTTGCTTTCTTGCATTTAAATACGCAAACACAACTCGTGGTTCCTGAGTACTTAAAGGTAGAACAGGAGGCAGAGTCTGCAGCTTCATGCCCCTCTTCTGTAGAACCAGCTCATAGTTTGGATTCAGGGCACAGACAGCCCCCATAGTTTTTAAATCAGGCTTAAAACGACCCTTTTTGATAAAGCATTTAATCAGGGTTGGATCGGGTGACCCTGAAACCTCCCCTAGTTAGGTCTAGGCTGCTGAGGACTTCCTATTATTCACTCACCTTAACACCACTTTGCATTTAATCATTAGTTATTAATCATTATTTTCTCCATTTCCTCCCCTCATAACCCCCAACTGGTCACTGCAGATGTCTGCCCCTCCCTGAGCCTGGTTCCCCTGGAGGTTTCTTCCTGTTAAAAGGGATTTCTTGCCTTCCCACTGTTACCATGTTCTCACAAGGGTCATGTGATTGTTTGGGTTTTCACCTTAAATATGAAGCAGCTTGAGGCGTCCGAGGTGTGATTTAGCACTATATAAATAAAATAGAACTCGGCAGAAGAACTGAACTATGATCTGCTTAAGACCAAGGACCTGTTAATAAAAATGACCTGTCCATGTACCATATCTGGGTGTCAGTATGGACCCCAGTATTTGGCACTAACAGAGCACTGATGGGACTCTTTAGGGGAGCAGAGCGAGGGCTGGTTGGATGCTTTGGTCTCTGTCTGAGCCAGGACCTATACAGGCTTGAATAAGTCCACACAAAAAAGCTTTCCCCATCTGAGGAGACTGTGGCTGTCATCCAAGTTTGGTGACAAAGGACAGAACTGGGCCTTTTTCTTTCTTTCATCCTCTCCTACCCTCCCCCCTCTGCCTTGCACACACTCACACAATGCAGTTCCACTGAGGGAAAAGGAAGTCCAACACCTTACCAAATTTAAACCGAGGCTGGTTACACGTATGGGTCTGTGGTCCTCTTCAAAACAGGCAGAAGGCTCGATATCTGCGTGCTTGTTTGTGCACAGTAAGGCCAGGTAGGCAAGAGTGTGTGTGCTTAGCAGGTGTGGACAGCTACAAGATACATCCCACCTCCACCCTGCAGTTTGGTAAAACATCCGCGTGAGTCATATCACACAGTCAGACAAATACACAGTATCAGCACACACGCGCGCGCGCGCGCGCAAACACACACACACACACACACACACACAAACACACACACACACACACACACACACACACACACACACACACACCTTCACAGCTGAGAGCAGCTCCTGTGCGGACTAATTCTGGAGGGCGTGTTCACTCCGTTTACTCAGCACACAAGCGTCGACGTACACAGACATACACATCGCACTGAGGAAAACTTTTCCTGAGAACTTTTCCCCCCGATGGAACCAGTGGAAGCTGTCAAATAAGGTAACCCGGTTTTTCTTTCGTGTGTTTCTTTCTGTGTTTCTAACAGAAGGGAGAGGAGAGAGTTTAATCTTTAATCTTTAAAGGGAAAAGTTGCGACAGGTGTTTCCTCTCTCGCGGTAGATCCGTAATGAGAAGAAGTGCACTGACCTATTTCTTTTCCCCCTAAAGGGCACTTCGCGTAAATAAATAAGCCTAAATAATTAAACCCATTAACAGTCTTAAAAACAAGTGTTCAGTCACTTTTAGAGGTTTAAACCTATATAACAATAAAAAAACACCAAAGGAGTGCTTTATGGAGGAACTATTGATAAGAACAACAACGTTGTTATTAATATTACTCGGCGTGTTTTGTGAAAACTGGAGCACTTTGTGCGTGGCGTTTTCTAACCTACCCGTTGACAGGCGAACACGTTCCTGACGCGCATGCGTTAACTTCTCAAAAGTAACTAGCCTTAGGCGTTGGGGACATGAAAACTCATTAACAGTTATTACATGGTGGTGCAGAAGGTTAGATCATCCATCTCGGCCTCACATTAGCTGAAAGTGAATTCAGTAGTAGGTTGTTATTAATCTTTTTGAATGTAGTTTTTTAGGCTGTCTACAGTAGAGTACTTAAGAGTAGGAGGGAGTGAAAGTCATTGAAGACAGGAAAGGCTCACCTGGAACAGCATGTATCAAAGCTTCAAAGAGTACTGCATCCTGAAAGATACCAGGGAGCTCGCTTCAGGTGATTTAAAGAAAAAAAGAAACAGCTTTATTATAGGTTTCCTCTTAAGCATTTCTCTACTATGTTTCATGTAAATGACAATTTGTAACCTTCAGACCTCTCTGAGCAAAGTAATGTCATCATTAACCAAATTTTACATGTGGGGGAAAAAAAAGTTTACAGGACTCGGCTCAGTCCTTTAAAAACAAAAAGTACACCCTATGATTAAACCACTTGTAGAAATACCTTTAGCAGTATTAACTTGAGGTGATTATTTCTGTGTGACTTATTCCCCCACAAAGGGTCAACATATGTGGATGAATTCGGTCCACTCTTCTTACACAACATCATCAGCATTGCTTCAACTTATTGTGGTTTGCAGGCTCTCTTTGATGCACAGCTATGTCGCCACAACATTTCAATCAGGTTAAGGTCTAGACTTTGACTGGGCCATTGCATCACCTCGATTCATTTCCTTTTCAGTTGTTCTGCTGTAGATTTGCTATATTTGACATGAATATTTTGGTTATACAAAGGGGCTCATGGTCAGCTCAATGACTGTGAGGTGCCCAGGTCCTGTGGCTGAGAACCACGCCCAAAACATCCCCCCACTTCACCACCTGCTGACAGCTAGTATGAGGTGTTTGGTTGTCATGTCCCCCAAAAGGGCCAAGGGGATGAGGAGTAACAATAGTAAGTCCAGGAGGAAAAAGAAAAGACAAAAAACCTTTATTAAAAAGGACTTAAAGAGATGGCTACACTATAACAATCAAACAAATATGTCAACAAACTAAAACACACTGAAAAGAAAGGAAATCATTAACAAACCAAAGAAAAACACCGCTGCTGTCAGCAGCTACTCACTGGTAGCTCAAACACACCACTAAATGCTCTGTAACAGTACACCTATAACCAGTAATTTGCAGCTGGGGGGGGGAAACAGCTACTCACTGGTACCTCAAACCCCACACCTAAGCTCACCACAGCACTCACTCTGAGTGACTAAGTGGGCCGTCACCAGCTTTTATGCAGGTGGGTGGTTAATTGCTGAGTGGAGCCAGCTGTGCACCAGCTCCTCAGAAGAAATGGGTGGCAGCTGAAGTCAGAAGGAAAGGAAAACGGGACACACACGCAAAGTTTGCTAGGGCGTGACAGTAGTGCTGTGCATCGTGGCTAAACACTTTGGCGTTGTCTCTTTAAAGGACATTGTTTCAGAGGTCTTGTGGTTTATTTAGAACTTTGCAAACCTAATCTGTGCTGCCACGTTCTTCTTAGAGATAAGAAGATATGTCCTGTTTAACACCGTCATGAATTTAACATTTAACATGCTAACTGTGGCTGTAGCTCTTGGGTTTTCTGCAGTTTCTCTGAGCATTACATGGCCTGACCTTGAACTTCATTTGATGGGACATCCACTCCAGTGAAGAACGTGGCATTGTGTTAGCATAGAAGTAAAGAGCAGCAAACTTCCCAAACTTGTGCTTTTAAAGAGGCACTCACACTTACTGATAATCATAAATGAAGTGCATTTGATTAGCAGGACCTGGCTGCTGATTACCTTCTTAATTCCAATGGGAACAGCAAGATGTACTTAGTGTTTTATAGGAATGTGAACTTTCTTTTTCAAATGACTTTAACCAGACAAACCTTCATTACTGTTAAGAGGGAAAAAAATCTGGAAGGCTAGTTTGCCGAATTTTCTTTTTTCAATGCACTGAAATGAAGAAAAAGAAACAAAAGTTTTTGTAGAACAGTGGATTTTAAATGTATTATAATGAACCTGATATATTGCACATTCATGTTATGTTCTAATCTCAATGTCTAATGAAAGCAGTAAGACTGTACTGTTGACTGTACTGTACTGCACTATTTGTGTTGTGTAATGATAGTCAAACACACTTTTGTCTTAGGGATGGAAGGAAAGCAGGGAGACTCCTCACTTGACTTGAGCCACCTGACGGAGGAGGAGCAGACCTCCATCCTGCAGGTTGTACAGCGTGACTTGGAGTTACGTCGCCGTGATGAAGGACGTGTAAGGTCAGAGGTGACTATTTATTCAAGTCTGACTGATATGTGTGCTAATCTCTTCGGATGTTTG